GGGGGGGGGGGGTTGTGTTGCTGCATCATCTCTCCATCTCTGTCTATCACAAAGTCTAATAATGGCTGCCCCCCTGACTGTCTGACCTCAGCAAACAGCACCGAATCGATGACACAATTGCTCTAAAAAAAGAACATCGCTATAATAAGTCACATGGGGAGGGCACTACTAAAATTCTCTGCAGAAGCCATGCTGTATGTTTACTGTTGTTGGCTTAAGCATCTTTCACTTTGTAAGCACTTCACTAATGAAACTGTTAATTTACAGGGTGCCATTCACCACTTCTTTAGTTATAACAATCAAATGAAGATGTTCTAACCCCTGGCTGAACTGTCCCATATTGTATCAGCATAAATGCAAAGGTTTTATTGGGGTTGTGCAGTAATGTTAGCATTTTAAAGGCTTCTGTCTCTGATATTAGGATCGTGAGCATCTGCTGCAGCTCTCAATGACAACGAGTAATCTCTGGAAATAGCCAGTGAAATTGAAAATGAATTAAATGAATTAGATGATGCCCAATTGTTGAAAAATATTGGCGGTTTCGTAAAATTTAACCATAAAAATCAGGTCTAAAGTACATGGGAGTGGATCTACGGGTGTTTTTCAATGCCAAGGAACCTCGCCTTGATGTCTTGGCCCCGCCCCGGTTGCCTAGGAGATACGTCATCAGGAACTGCCAAGGCGTGTTCCAATGTTCCAGTGTTCCAAAGCGTCGCCAAGTCCAAGGGGGATGACTCCATCTTAAAATGGCTATCGCTAAAATATCACAGCAATTTATGATGTTTTTTTTTTATAATTACTATTACTTTTTTGTGAAAAAAAATTATTTACAAAGACGTCTGTGGTTATGTACTGGTGCAAGTAATAGCAGCAGTAGCTGTAGCACATCCTGTGTTGGGTTCTTCTGGATGACACACAGGAACACTTCAGCAGGAAAAAACGTTTACTGCAAAACTGATGACAATGTAAAGAATTTAGCTATTTATTCATCACCAGTGGTAGGTCAGCTGTGAAAAGCTCAAATTGTGTTTGTTCTGAACAGTAAATATTGGTAGGAGTCTGCATTAGGTTTAGTAGTCCTAGCTACTGCCTGCCCTAAAATGAGCAATTCAACACTGCCCTCTAGTAGGAAATCAGAACATTATTTTAGAATTGCATGACTATCATGGCTATTTATGAAAAAAGATTTAAAATAGTCCAAATCAGTCTAATTTAAATTTTAAACCTTTAGTTTGGTTAAAAAAAAAATGTAATTTTTCAGTCGAGTGTGTTTCCATAACCAAAATGGATGCTGTTAAACCTATTAAATGACCAGGATTATTTTTAAAATACCAGATTATGTGAAATTAGCATTCATGTGATGTTTTAGTGTTTGACACATTTAATACTTTTAAATGACTGCAATTCAAACTTGGCTATCCATTAGCTTGTCAATCTAATCAGAACTAAGCTCTATTTCTCCCAACTGAGGTTTTTCAAAATGTTACATAGAAAATATAAGATGTTCATAACATTATGCTTTGGATGCTCTCAGCTTGCTCTTTATTCTGTTGGTTTTATGTCTCACACAAAAAAAAATAAAAGTCATATTCTCCCCTCTGCTACCTTCCAGCGTCCGCCGTCCCTTTCAACCTTTCCCTCCAACATCAAACTCACCTTCTAACCATCACGTCACATCCACTCACTGCCTGGGTGTGTGCATGTGTTATTGTTGCAGCTCTCTGGCTTCTTTTTCCTGAACAACCTGAACTCTACAGATGAAAAATGTGCTTTGAAAAAGAAATGTTACAAAGAGGTAAGATGTTTGAGGAAATTACTGACACCATGACCCTGTTTTTGTCCCTCACTGTTTTCACAAAAGCCCAAAAATGTTTTATTTTTTATGCTTTCACTGTTTTTCATACATGTGTTTTTTCCAAATGGAAGAAAATGGATATTAAACACGTATTCCATCTGTTTCCTCAGTGGTACGCCTGACTCTATAGATTTAAGAGTGTGACTCGTAAGTACAGCCTCCATTACGGCGCCCAGGAGAAATCACGTCCATCTGCAATGTTTATCTACAGAACTACTTACCCTTTAACTACAATCCTCCTCATCAATGCTGAAGCCATGAGAGACTGAGGGAACAGCTGTGTGACAGATCTTTGATCCGTCCCTGGAGACCATAACTGGCCTAGTCTGGTCTGGGTCTAACTTGGCCTTATTTACATATATGAACTAAAATATGTAAAAATCAGGGTTCACATCATCTAATGTTACATAAAGTCATGCACTATTCCCACGATAACAGCAAATGCATGCAGATTCCTCCATGCTGTGGCATTATAGTGTCAAACAAGCTTAAGCTTCATGCAAATTAATTTTTAGAATGCACATATTAAGTGTATAAACTGACACTTTCGTGGCGATTATAAAAAATTATGCACACTGACTAATCTCTTCAAATCGTCAAATACGGGCCAAATTCATTGTCATGAACCTGTCTGATGCTATCCAAGACTGCCTTCTACTGTCTGCAAATGCAACTGCAGGACTGCAGCAAATTGATCCAGTGTGAACAAGTGGTCCTTGCTTTTTTCCCCCTTTAATCTGATTGCAACATGATGATTCATCTGGATCTGGAAACTGGGTTTTGTGCTTTTAAGCTGACTCAAACAGTCCCTCACAAGTACGAGTTGGATTTTCTTTTTTTTACTTCAAATGTTATCTCTTCATCTCAGCCTCCTTCTTTGTTGTGCCTGTTTTGGAACACAAATCTGCAGACACACAGTCATCTTGTTAGCTAAATTTCTTTCTCATGCTCCTATATTTTTATACTCCCCCATGGCTGTGTTGCCTCCCTCCCATTCTCCCAAATGTATTCTCCCATCCTCTCTCGCAATCTCATCCTCCTCTGCCTGACGTCATGGTAACCGCAGTACAAGATGCGGGGCTTGCTTGACACTGCTCATGGCGCTATAAATAATGACAAAGACAGCCATATAAAGGAGAATATAAATATGTGGTGTGTGTGTGTGTGTAACACTGCTGTTACCAGTGGTGGTTTTACCAAGTTCGGCGGCTGCCTGGGGCCCCCTTATGTTGGGGGGCCCCCTAGCCCTGACTGCTGGCACCCCTCTGTTGACGCCACAATGGACTATTCCTTTAAGACATCGATGCACGAACAGGAAGTGATTGGTAGTCATTCCACTCCAATCTAGTTGATGGCAGTAATGCACCAAATTGCTGTTTGCCAAGTGCCATAAGACCACAAATAAGAAGAAGAGGGGAAAGCAGAAAAAGAAGAAGAGAGGCGGGAGCGTTCGTAACAAACTCGAAGCGGTAATCAAAACATCAAGCATGAAATGGAGTTATCTTAGTGGCTCCAATAAGAGAAAGAAGCAGCTTGCTTTATAAAAGCTTTTATCTTCACTTCCGAAAGTGACGTCGTTTTTCTATGTAAACATCAAAAGGAAGCAGAAAAGGAAAGACAATGGAAAATGTTTAAAGGGAGGAAAACATAGACCAAAATGAAAATAGAAGAAAAAGAAAGAAAGGCAAAAGCACAGGAGCACTGACAGGAAGAAGAAAGCACTCAAAGGGAGAGAATGACAGGAGAAAAGAGGAGGACTAATAAAAAAGTGAAAATAACTCATGTCAGAAGAGGAGAGAGTTTCACAAATCCAGTTAAAGATAAGATTGTCGAAAATTTAGTGTAAGGGGGCCCCAAGTCTGTGTTCGCCTTGGGCCCCCAAATAGCTAAATCTGCCACTGGCTGTTACATGTCAGGTGAAAGAACTATCCTGGCAGTGAGCAGGCTGCAGGCAAGGTTGATGGCTTCAGCATTTTTAATGATGTGAGTCACTCTGGCACGGTGCAGCAGGCCGAGCGTTCAGGCTCTGGAAGTGGACTAATGTGTCAGCAGTCATCAGCAGAAGGGAAGGGAGTCTGAGTTAGAGACGGGCAGAGAGAGAGAGGGAGGAGAAAGTGTGTGTGTGTGTGTGTGTGTGTGTGTGTGTGTGTGTGTGTGTGTGTGTGTGTGTGTGTGTGTGTGTGTGTGTGTGTGTGTGTGTGTGTGTGTGTGCACGCATGCATGTGTGTGTGTATGTGCGTGTGTATTATAGGGACAGCACAAATTTTACTAAATGTAAACAGGCCAGATGGAAACCAGCACAAATCAGCAGGAGGCGAGAGGATGCTGCTGCTGCTACAGTGGAGGATGTGTGATTAAGGCTCAAGGTGATTAGAATTTTGAAGTGGTAGGAAACTGTGCTACCTGTGTGTTCACGTGATTAAGAAAATAAGTCTGTTCCTCATGTTGCATTTTATAAGAGCCACGTTTTGTCAGGTGTGAATGTCTTTAGAAATTATAAGATGAATATTTACTGCTGCTTCAGGTTCTACTAATGAAGATTAGGTAGTTATGGAACAGGGTTGTTGAATGCACATGGAAGTATACACAGAGACAGTAATATAATATAATATAATATAATATAATATAATATAATATAATATAATATAATGTAATGTAATATAACATCATATCATATAAAATAATATAATATAAATGTCCAAAATTATTTAAATGCATTAAGAAGACCATCTGTCTTTGACTCAAATAAATATGATTCAAATGAAAACCATCATCCTTACTGACTCACGATTGCATAGCCTTTTACCTGAATGCGTAAACTCTGCACTGATTCCTGACTATTTAACTTTCAGTTATTCTCAATGAGGCATTTGGGACAAAACACATTAATCATTTAATAAATCATATTCACAACTAGAATTAATGTTGTATTTTCCCCACGCATCTCTGCATTTTGGCTTTTTACTCCAGAGGCACTACTCACGTCTAACATAAACATTCTGGATATGTGAAATAAAACTCTGACAAAGGTACTCCTAAAAGGGGTATCGTTATATGTTACAACGGCTTGCCACACACACCTGGACACGAACGGAAAAACCAGCGCGTGCGTCACTCTCATTCATGGCGGAAGAATACTTCTCAAGTGAAGCTAGTTCCGGGATCTGGAACTACGTTTTCAGAGAGGAAAAGGAAAACGGTAGGGGCGTAAGGATACCATGGAGCTACACGGCTCCCGAGTCCTGTAGCAGGTGCACAACGTAACCAAATCATCTCTACGAGGCGAGTTATCTCAGGACATGGTCATTTCCATTTTCGACGACAAAAGGCACTTCTACCGTAAACCGTGCCCTTGCGCTTCCACCGGGATAACGCTACGGTAAGTGATGCTGTAGCTAACGGCAAATAGTAGCACATATAGCTTAAAAGTGAGAGTAAACACAACCGCTTGTCTCTAAAACAAGGATTGAAACGGGAGGCGGCTTGTGCCATTTGAGTCTTATAATAAATGAAGTTGACATATGTCAGCTTTAGACTGAAAAACAACAGCATCAAGCTGCACCTGACGTCAGCAAGCGGGTTGACGTAAGGTGCGTTCATTTATTAGCTGTCAAACTGTAGTGTTATCAGTTCATGTCTGCCAAAAAATGACCGCCCCAGGTACTCCCCGTGACGTTTGACTCTGGTTGTTCAGTGGGAAACATCGGGACATCTTCATGATGGACCTTGATTCCGTTATCTTGTATGTCTGTTTAATGCAAGGATGTGATCAGATTTGTTTCCCTGATTTACTGGAAATGATTATTCTCAGGGACACGTGGCGCTGAGTGAGCGAAATGACTCGCCACTGTTTTGGTTGCTGTGGAGAACAGCTGGAGGTGGTGTATGGAAACGGTGGTGGTGTCTCTCAAAGTACCCGGATGTTAACTCTGCTGGTAGTACAGCAGCAGGGTGTTGATCACTCAGAGCAAACATGGGCACACCTTTCAAGTTGAGAAGAAGTAGTTCTGTTTACCGACAGTATCTCAAGAACTTTGTGAAATAATGACGTCTTTTGCAACTGAACATGAACATTTCAGATCCTCTACAGCTCCTTGTATAATAATATATGCTAGTGCGAGTAGATGTGACCAACATATCAGTTTCGTGTAAGAGTGGACACTGGCAGTGAAAAAGGGGAAAACACAATTATTTCAAGATTGATCGTTACTGTTTTTCCAAGTTATAAGCAACCATGCGATGTAAAAACATCCCTAAAGGAAATGTAACATTCGGACTGGATGACATCCCTGAACAGACTTTAATATCGTGCTCTGGCGCTCCTGTTTTAGAAAGTGGCAGTTAGTCAGAGAAGAGGGAAACCGAACACAGCAGGATTTGGAGTCTTACTCATCAGTATTCATGATATTTGGACATCTCACCTCAGACTGGCTAGCAGCAACACGACTCTACCACTGACTGTTTTATCTCTACAATCAGCACAAACCTAAAGGAGCTTTGCTGTGTGGGGAGTTGCTAAAGCTAATGGTTAGCTTCTAAATCAGTCCATGAATGCTAAATTTCAGTGTGACTGAGGCCTAGTCCACACGTAGCCGGGTTTTTAAAAACGAATATCCGCCCCTCCAAAAACTTGCATCCACACCACCTCGTTTAAAAACAAACTCTGTCCACACGTACCCGGATAAATATGTTGTTAAGGACATGCCAGACCTGTAGGCGGCAGTACTTCCCCCGTTCTTAACCTCATCCTTCGTCTGTGGTCTTCCTCAAGGAGCAGTAATTCCGCTTGCAAAAACAAACAAGCAAAAAGCGCTTGGACAATTGATAAAGTGAGCGCAGCTCTGAGGGCATCCATGCTGTCGGCTAGTGTAAACACAGGTCGCACACATGATGTCAGCATTTCTTTGTCGCGGAAAGTAACGTTGCGGACCTTAAAACTCCAGTTTTGTCTGTCCACACACAGACACCCAAAACGGAGAAAACGCATCTTCACTTTGGCCGGAGTTTTTAAAAAGATTTGTTTTCGTGTGGAAAAAACTACGTTTTCGTGTGGATGACAGGCCAAAACGTAGAAAAATATCTACGTTTTGGCAGATCCCCGGCTACGTGCTGACAGGGCCTAAGATCTGAGTGGCTTTTCTAGTCAGAGCATTTCCCTTCTATTTTCTAATGGTGGCTAATGCAGGAAATAGGGGTAGAAGACAATTTTCACATTTAGCCTGCATTTAAAATTTAGGGTGACCGATTTGAAATTTAAAAAACAACAAATTTAAAACGTGTTAAGTGCCAAATCATTCATAGCAACAATTCTTTTTATTTAATGAATGCACATTGCCAGCACTAATGAGGCTTGGAATGATCTGGACAGAAATGTTCTTGGACATGACGTGACATTCTGTAAACTGTCCCCTAAGTGACTCTTTCAACCACTCTTTCAGCCACCTTTTGCTAGAATGTTTTTGGGTGAAATAATGTTACAATATATTTCACAAAACTAAACGCCTGAAGATATTTGCAATCTGTTAAGAGTGAATTTAGTTGGAAAACGATGCCAAGACACATCCAGTGTTATTGCAAGATCTCGTTCCATCAGACTGGAGAGGGTTAGGGTTCGATGGGCTTGTTTCAGGAACTAGCAGAAAGCCACATCAGAGTTGAGCTCAACAAGCTAGGATTTAGAATATAATTTATTGATCCCACGGTGGGGAAATTCACTTTCTACAGCAGGGCAGAAGAAAACTGATAAAAGTACAGGTAGATACACATAGACAGTAAGCTATTGTTGTGACCTTCAAGCGCTAAGTAAAAAAAAAAAAAGATTGGGTTTCCAGAAATATGCAGCATAAGGGACACAGTAGGGCAGGTGATGAGGCCTAAAATCAACATCGTGATATATTTAGGATTTCACCTCTTTAACGATAAATACACGATAACTACATGTATGCGCAGAAACAGAAGTTGTCCACTAGACGGCGCTGTCAATTGTATTACATTGAGTTATTTTGTCATGTAACCCGAGGTGGTACGACTTCTTAAAGGGACTTGAATGTCGCAAACCTACACATTTCTTTTTGTTTTTTAATCAAATGTGTTGACATGGAATAAGTGATATCGGTTTGTCAGAAATTTTGATAACGGTAATTTTTTTATTTATTGCCCAGTCCTAGGACACAGACATATTGAACAGACTGAATATTGTAATAATGTTGGCGTGTAGAAGGATAGTAAGTTTTAAAGGGATACTCCACCCATAAATTAAATTTTGTCTGTTGACATATTTCCCAGATTTGGATAAGTGGGGACAAATTTCTCACCAGCCCAGTCGTCCTTCTGAGCTGGCTGTACTCCTTTAGCTTTAGCTTAGCATAAAACACGGTAAGTGAATGGATCCATCTAGCATTGTGAGTAAAATAGTCCTTAAAATAATTCAGTAGTGATTAGGGCTGCAACAACGAATCGATAAATTCGATGAAAATCGATTACTAAAAGCGTTGGCAACGAATTGCGTCATCGATTCGTTGTGTGGCACAACTCTTCCAAAAGCGCCCCCCCCCCCCCCCCCCCCTTCCCGAATCCCGCCCGCCGTTGCGCGCAGACCAGAGCAAGTCAGATCAGCACGAGGGAGAGCCGCAGATCAGCGCGAGGGAGAGCCGGCAGATCAGCGCGAGGGAGAGCCGCAGATCAGCGCGAGGGAGAGCCGGCAGATCAGCGCGAGGGAGAGCCGGCAGATCAGCGCGAGGGAGAGCCGGCAGATCAGCGCGAGGGAGAGCCGGCAGATCAGCGCGAGGGAGAGCCGGCAGATCAGCGCGAGGGAGAGCCGCAGATCAGCGCGAGGGAGAGCCGGCAGATCAGCGCGAGGGAGAGCCGGCAGATCAGCGCAAAGGAGAGCCGCAGATCAGCGTGAGGGAGAGCCGGTAGCGGCAGATCAGCGCGAGGGAGAGCCGGCAGACTTGCGCTGCTGCGAACCGGTTCCGCATTGTTGCACAGCGATCCAGGCAGCTGCTTCCAGCGCACGGTCTATTCTCAAAGTGGCGCAACCAAAAAACTATAATTAGCACACGATCGTTCTTGTCTGCACATCTTCTCTATTTTCTGTCTTATTTGTGCCTGAAGCTCGCTACTGCGGAGCTCATCACCTGTGCTGTGGTGATGTCACCTCACGCAGCATCGAAAACGCGCTCTGCGCTTTTCGGTCAGGAGATCCCTTTGATCTGCTCAAAAGTAACTGATGAGGTGAAAAGGTAAGAATCCAGGCAACAGATTTTCTGGAGAATTAAGAGGAGATGCAGGAAGATGAGAGACAGACAGGACAGGAAAATAGTTCAATAAAAACAAGAAAACAATCAATCAATCAATCAATCAAAGCTTTATTTATAAAGCGCCTTCCGCAACCCTGTCAGGAAGCCCAAAGCGCTGAAAGTGAAACAAAGCGCTGAAAACAAAGTGTTGAAAAGTAAAATGTAGGTAGATTTATCACCACTACACGTTTTTACCAGTAAAAAACAATAAGTTATACACATGTCATATTTATACATCTGATACAATTCAGATCACCTTCAAAACTCAGTCACACACCCAGGGCCGTTTCAAGACATTTTGGGGGCCAAGGCAAAATGCCCCCCCCCCCCCCCCCCCCCAATAACTGGGCTCCCCAGAAGCCTCTGTGTAATTCATGCCCTCTCCAGTAGTGTTAGTTATATGGTGTTTATAAAAGCCCCTCAGACATTACTGACATGTTCTAATATTATCAGATGAAAAACTAAATTATCAGACATGCTGTCTCATCTGCTTCTTTTAAAAACTTGCAAAAAGTAACAAAACCATTTGAAAGCCACTATTTGTGGATTCTCTGAAAGTTTCCATGGAGTGTGTGACAACTTATTTTTTCATTGATCCTATCGTCTAATCTCACAGCTGAAACAAGCATCCTTAATAATCTGTGCACAGGAAGCGTACCGATGCTGTAGTAAAACAAAAGGTATAATAATTTATTATTAATAAAACCTTGTTGCAACACTAAAGCAGAAAAATTTGATTTTGCATTAAATATGCTAAATATTTATATATGAATTGTTTTAGAGCCCTTTAATTGGCAGAATCTGATATTAATTTAGTTCTTACAAAAAATGGGTCCCAACATGGTTTGTGTGGCGTTGCCATAGTGTGACGTCATAGGCACAGATCCCCTGTCCTCTTGTTTGGAAATGGAAATATGATCACCCTACATTAAACAAACTGTCCACCCGGGCTTTTGCACTGCACAGAGACGCTTCGCTGCCTACGACTGAATGTCAGTTGAGAGTCAGTCTCATGCAGAATGACCAATGAAGAGAGGGCCTCAAGTTAAGACCCTCTCCTCATTGGTCAGTCCACACGAGGTGGGTCAAAGGTTACTCTGGGCGGGTTACGTGTTGTCAGGCATTCAAGTATTGAGTATATTTACTGCATATTACAGTAAAATATTCTGTATGTGACCACATTATGGTGATCCTCGGGTCGTGATGATGGAGCCCTTGAATATTGTTGCCCAGGGTACAACAAAGTGTTAATCTGGCCCTGGTTCCGCCGTCACATTCCCGCAGAAACTGGTTGATCACACCGGGGCCAGACTACTAGCATGTGGTTTTACAACCACAATGTCCTCAGAAGCAAAAACGCTTTTAAAAGGGAGGGAGGAGTCCTAACTGTTGCTGCAGGCGTGTTGTGTGAGAGTGCAGTTATATACTGGTTAATATATTTTTGGGTTCAGTTGCTTTCATGTGGCCTAATGTGAGTCTATTTGGGATCATTGGAATGATCAGCAGCATTTCTTGATGTGACTTTATGGCAGTTGCCCAGGGCATCATCGCAAGGAGGATGGCATTCATTTACTTTTGTTTTATTTGGTATTTTTTCAGTCATTTTTGGAAATAGTGATCAATTTTGATTAATTCACAGCCTATGTTTAATTACATTTAAAATATATGTCAACAGATGAGATCAAACAAAACAGATGAGAATTGCCCTTAAGCTGTTTAACTTGGACCAAGCATTTTAGGTCACAGATAGATGTAGCTTAGGGTCTCTGTCTATACACCTTATAAGACAATTTAGGTGATGGCATGTTGTTTTTCTGCTATTGAACTGTTTTCTAATAATGTTGTGTTAAATAAAGTGAAGGAAGGAGAGAAATAACGTTTCCCTAGCAGTTTTTAAAAATTTCCCCATGTAATCCGATTAATCGATTAATCGTGTCGAGACCCCATCCGATTAATCGATTATCCAAATAATCGTTTGTTGCAGCCCTAGTAGTGATCTCATTTCTGCTTGGTGACCTAAATAATCAGACTGACTGCAAGTGAAAATGATTAGTAACATAACGGAATCTCTGGTGCCATTTTAGACTCGGGACTACTTTCTGACAAAGCACAGCTGTCAGCCTCCGCTGAGTCCGTGAATGTTAAAGTGACGGTGTGATGTAGATCTGTCAGGCTTTTCAAATCCTAGAATTTCATTGTCTATTTTCTATCAGAAGCTAATGTAGAAGACTATTTTCATGTTCAGCCTGCGTGAAAAGCTCAGTGACTATTATCAGAAATACAATTTAAAATATGTTTTTCAGTGTTTCACTCCTTTAATATTGGCCCAGTTTTACTTATCAGACCGATACCAATATGTTAAAAAATGACTAACATCGGCCAATACCGATACTGATGCCAGGGCATCCCTAGTTTTTCCAACAATTTAATCTTTGCTTAACTTAAATTAAACTAACAGCAAAGATCTAATCTGTGTTCGCTCAGCAGTAACCTCCATCATTTCATTCAGAGATAATAAATCAAGGTAAACCTCAGAACTAAAACAGGATCGAGCTTTTTTGCTAACTGCCTCCCACCGTAAGGGCATGCTTTAACTCACGATACTGTCTCAGTGTACCAGGTGTGCTGAAAAGAGCATGCCAGCCGAGAATTGTGTGACCTGGAAGGTGCGTATGAATAACAAGGTTTTTAAATAATGTACTAGTACCATGTTTCTTATCCATTTGCTTCCTTACAAATAGATGGTTTGTGGGCAGATAAATACATTACGGTTTATTAGAAAAATATTATATATATAAATCTTTAAAATATTTGTAGTTTCGAGTCACATTCCCGGTTTTTTAAACCAACAGCAAAATAGTTCATGCAGGCAGAAAGAAATTATATAAAAATACTCACTAAACATTAGTCTTTAATGTGTTTAAATAAAACTTGACAAAAACGTAAAAATTTCATCATATTGCTAGTCAAAAACAAAAGGTTTTCAGGAGAAACATGGATTAGAAAGGTGTTCACATTATGAATTTATTAAAAAATAGCCTCATCGCTCATAATTCTAATAATTACATCTGAAATATGTGGTTGGAACGAATCTGATGGGCCATCCACATATCACCAGCAGGGAACACCAAAGCAGTATTCTAATTCATCACGCCGACAGACGGTAACAGCAAAATTGTTCCAAAAACGTGCTTAATATTCACCAATATATGCAAATTCAGCATAAAAACAAACAAAGCTAATTTCATGAAGTTAAAAGAATCAACTCGGTCCTACCTTTGCCGGTTTAGGGTTGTAATAATCCATGGTATAGTGAAAATAATCCACTTTTGAACATGCAGGTGATTGTTTATAAGTCTCTGATGCCACATTCCATCATTTTCCTTCATAATAACAAAACTCCACGAGGTGTACTCAGCTGCTCTACAACAACCAGTGATGGTGAACTGTGCAGAATTTCCGGTTCTGTCCAGACCTGATCTGAGACTCTGCCCTGCCGGTCCTCTGTGCATGTCTTCGCAGGCATTATACCCTGCACCCAAAGGCTCTCCTACTACTTGCATTAGGAGGGGGAATCCAGCGCGCATGCACCAGTTAGCGTAGGTCTATGGTAGAGATTGCTGTGCCCAAAAGTAACAGGAAATACGTCACAAGATGATTCGGTATTGTTAAAATGTAAATAACATTTTTAAACTACACTTAAATGCAGATTATACACAGCACTTATAGTCTGTATGATGTAGAGATCGTTTAGTTTAATTTTCATGTTTTTTTTATATTTTGTGATTCCTATTTTCTTCTTCTTCCTGTGAGACTGGTGAGGTGGTGCCCTAGCGCCCCCTATGGATGAGCCACCACTGGTGTGTGTGTGTGTGTGTGTGTGTGTGTGTGTGTGTGTGTGTGTGTGTGTGTGTGTGTGTGTGTGTGTGTGTGTGTGTGTGTGTGTGTGTGTGTGTGTGTGTGTGTGTGTGTGTGTGTGAACTATAACCACACAGTGCTTATGTTTGGTCTGAATTGTGTAGTTTAATCATCATGTGCAAGCATTTCCCAGAGTAGTTTGTTTATTTACTTTCTGGCTTGTGATTAAATGGTAAATGTTTTTGTAGTGGGGTATCTCAACAATCCCAACACTCCCCTGAGTTGCAGCAGAGAGCACTTGGCCATCGTCCCAATCTCAAATTGATTTTTCATCTCGCTTAAGTCCTAAATCCTCCGTCAAACGCCACGAGCCTGCTGCTAGAATGAATCATTTTGGCAGGGTGTTTCCATGCTGGAGACTCTCTCGGGCTACCGCTGTGTTTACTTGTGTGTGACGGTGTGTAGTTTGTCTACTAATGTTCCAGACGGTGTTTCCTGCGGCTGCCCTGTGGATTTTCATTCATAAAACAAGCAGTTAGCTCTTTTTGAGAACGGATGTGGGATTGGTCTTGTTTGTAGAATAAATGAAGCTGTTGTGCCTCGAACTGGTGTTGGGTTGCAGGATGGTCTCACTTGTTTCACCATTTCTCTTTCTCCCTCAGCAGATAAATATAGAATGTAAACAATGGTCAGAGTAGATCATTTAAAGTGGGGTTATGTTAAAATCCATGGGGTAGGGAGGACAGAATACCAGCCTATGACAGGAGCTCTGGTCATGTGACTTGCCCTGAAACGACTGCCTCACAGATAATTAAGTCAAACTTGTTTCATTTCTAGTTAATGTGATTCCCTTAGATAGAAATGAGGACTCGTGCTCAGAGCCCACAAACATCTTAAGCGGTCTTTTATTATCAGAGATAACTCTGATGTTGTCCTACAGAGTGGATGCCAGCTGATGTGTTTCTGGGTCGCTCACACAGGCTTAAACACACCGTCAGAATGTCCGGTAAGTATTTACAACAACTTTTTTTTATACGTTGTGCCAGGCTGTCGCTGTTTGTCCCGTTTCTGACGTCCGTGTTTCTGCTTTAGGCACCTACACACCCGCCCCGGGTGGACCCTTTTCTGCTCTCACCCCTAGTATGTGGCCGCAGGATATTTTGGCCAAATATCATCAAGTAAGCACGGGACTTGGAATAGTAGTTAAAAATAAATCCAGTGTGCATATTCCCCAAAAGCCAGGAAGCAGTAACGCTTAAAATAAAAGATCACCATCTGTTTATTGGTATTAAGGACAGAAACTTACATTTTTATTCTCATGGAAAACAGACTCGAGGATTTTTATGGTTTTGTTTACAACTTTCAGGTCTTTTTTAAAAATTATTTCATGCAAAAGGAAAAATGAAATTGATAAACAACAAAACTGTCAAATACCGTATGCATGTTTTCAAATCTAAACACGATTCGTGTTCAACGTTTTCACCTTTCATAAACATTTCTTTCACCTGTAATCTTCATATTTATTTAATATTGAAGTTTTGATTTCTGCTTTAATGTGTTTTAGTTGTTTTAGTACGTTATCGTCCCATTTAGTCTAAAATAATCGAGCTCAGAACAAGCTCCTTGGAGATAAACGAACCACTTTGGCTTTGGTCAGTTGGACTCTTGCATTGTTCCATTTTTAAAAACCAATAATAAATCTGACTATTAAGAGATTCTAAAGCAACACATCTTTTTAAAGAAGGCGTGCAGCCTGCTTTTACTTAAGGTCTGGCATTTATTTACTGGTTAGATAAGAGCAGAAACAACGGTTTGTTTTCCACGGGGAGATGAGCTCTCACTGGGGTCATGTGTCTCCACAGAAAGACTCTGCAGGTCAGCCTGAACTCCAGTACGATGAGTTTGGCTTCAGAATAGACTCTGAAGGTATTTAGTTCTCAGTTTTTTTCTACATTTCCTTTTTTAAACACTATTAAAATTCCTAAACCTGATTTACAAACAACTGAATCTTTGTATCTTAGCTTAATGAACACAAAATCGGCTCATGTGACGTTTCTTTCTCAGACTGTGACAAGCCCAAGTCCTGGTTGGGTACGGATGGCTCCCCTCAGCATGAAGACCCTCAGCAACGACTGCGCTGGCAGGCCCACCTGGAGTTCACCCACAACCACACGGTGGGCGACCTGACCTGGGATCTGATCGATCCTGTTCTTCCACGCTCCGATCGTCTGCGCTCGCTGGTGCTCGGTGGCATTCCTCACAGCATGAGGCCACAGGTAGGTGGGTCTCAGCGTCTGCGGAGCACACGGTGGACTAAAGTTCAGCCTGAGCTTAGAGGAAAAGCCTCTTCGTCAGTCTGGGATGTTTGACATTTTCATTTATCACAGATACAGCGGGAAATCCTGCAGATTCTGTTTCTATTCAACGTTCCGGCTCTTTGGTTTTCTCTCGTCTGATTGGCCGCAGCAGCTTCTAATTTTCACTTTTTCTGAACAAGTTCTAATGAACAGTCATTGTGAAGCATGTTTCTAAAGGAATATTTCTAGATGAGTGTTTCCAGCTGCTCCAATCCAGCAGAGCGCTGGGGTTTATTAGGCTAATGCGTTATGTCATGACCTAACCTGACCTCTGCCCTAGCAGATTAGTGCTGTGGTCACCGAACAACGATGGCGTAGCTTTCCCCTTTAGTGGTGTTGTCAGCCATGGCTGTTGAGTGAGCTTAAACTAAGGGTCCGGCTGTAGCTCCATACTGCACACGGCACGCTTTGACGAGTTCCACCATCATTTCTTCTGTAGTTGTGGATGCGTCTGTCTGGAGCTCTGCAGAAGAAGAGGACCTCAGAGATCTCCTACAAAGAAATAGTCAAGAACAGCTCTAATGATGACACATCTACCTCTAAACAGGTGACATCACTGCTTTTGTTGTAGTTCTAAACTTATTTAAAGATGGTTGTGTGAGTGTTTTAGCTCCAGTCTGTAAGCTTGATGTTTTCCATCAGATAGAGAAGGACCTGTTGCGGACCATGCCAACCAACGCGTGCTTCTGTAGTCTGACCAGCGTCGGGGTGCCGAGGCTGAGACGGGTACTGAGAGGCCTGGCCTGGCTCTACCCAGATATCGGGTACTGCCAGGGCACCGGCATGGTGAGCACACACAGACCGTCTCATGTCAGAATAACGTCTGCACGATCTGCTTCTTTAATAATTCTACTTAATTATTTCATCTGCACTCCTTAATTGTGTCATGTAGGTTATTTCCTGCCTGCTGCTCTTTCTGGAAGAGGAGGATGCTCTGTGGATGATGTGTGCTCTGATCGAAGACCTCCTTCCTCCATCCTACTTCTCCTCCACGCTGCTGGGGGTCCAAACAGACCAGAGGGTTCTTCGGCAGCTTATTGTTCAGTACCTGCCAGCCCTGGACCGCCTTCTCCAGGATCACGACATCGGTAAACGCTAGGGAAAGGGTGGGGAGGCCTGGTCCTTGAGGGCTCCTATCCAGCATGTTTTAGATGTTTCCCTGCTCCAGGCTTCTGCAGAGCCTGATGGGCTGCTAAGCAGGTGATTCAGCCAACAAATCAGGTGTGTCGAAGCAGGGAAACACCTAAAACATGGTGTATGGGTCCTTCAGTGACCAGGGCTGGAGACCACTGTTCTCTCCTGTTCTCATCTAGACGTTTACTCAGATTGGTGAATTGAGCAGGTCTTGTTTCTGTCCAATAACAGACGCTTCTCTTTTCACACGCAGAGCTGTCTCTGATAACGCTGCACTGGTTCCTGACGTCCTTTGCCAGTGTGGTGGACATCCGGCTGCTCCTGCGGATCTGGGATCTGCTCTTTTATCAAGGCTCGGTGATGCTCTTTCAGATCACACTGGGCATGTTCAAGATTAAGGTAGTCTCACTTCAGCACCATCCAGTGGGTCCGATGCAGTCACAGGAAGGAAATGCATTCTGGTTTTGCTAAAATCAGAATGCAAGTGATTTAGAGTAATTGACAAAAAGCTGTTTGTTTCTGACTCCAGGAGGAGGAGCTTGTATCTTCAGAGAACTCTGCATCCATCTTTAACACTCTGTCAGACTTGCCAAGCCAGCTGAGGGACGGGCCGGCAGTTCTGGGCGAGGCCATGAGGCTGGCAGGAAGCCTTTCCCAGGAAACCCTGGAAGCTCACAGACACAAACACCTAGCTTACATTCTTAATGAACAGGCGCAGCTCAACAATGGAAGCAACGCTACACTCAGCACCAACCTCAACAAGGTGAACCAAGACAACACCCAGCTGTTTTGATGTGGAAAAGGGCTCTTTTTAGAGTAAAAGAAGCCTAACCTGTGTGTGTGTGTGTGTGTGTGTGTGTGTGTGTGTGTGTGTGTGTGTGTGTGTGTGCGCGCGCGCGTGTGCGTGTATAGGTGGTGAGGAGGCAGGCTCTGCGCAGGAAGTCTACTCTGACTTCTCTGCTGTTTGGGGAGGATGAAGCAGAGGCTCTGAAATCTAAAAACATTAAGCAGACGGAGTTGGTGGCGGCCCTGCGAGAGGCTATAGCTCGTACTGCCGAGCACTTCCACTGTCTGGATGCTCATCATTCCAACACCGTGGGTCCAAACACAAACCACCTTTAAGTCCTCGTTTGGTTTAATTTTCATTCTCGAGTTTACAGACACTCTTGGTCTTTCAGGACTTGACGCCAGATTATTCCATGGAGAGCCACCAGCGGGATCATGAAAACTTCCTCGTGGTTTCTCGTAACCGACGGAGACGAGCCAAGGCTCTGTTGGACTTTGAGCGTCACGACGATGACGAATTGGGTTTCAGAAAGAATGACATCATCACTGTGAGTTATTATTTACTCCAACACTGTTTTCATGGGTAGCTGAGCATGTCTGACTCCTAAACTTCTGAATCTTTCAGATTGTCTCACAAAAGGATGAACACTGTTGGGTTGGGGAGCTCAATGGCCTTAGAGGTGTGTCTTTGTGTGTGTGTTCACATTATCTGTTGCAGGTTTCGTTGGACTCTTCAACTACATCTGTTTCTCTTTTGTCGTTAGGTTGGTTCCCAGCAAAGTTTGTGGAGATTCTAGATGAAAGGAGCAAGGAGGTACGAGCAGATGCGTCATAGAAACGGTTACTTCTCAGACATCTGTGTGTGTGTGTGTGTTATATGAAGAGCTCTTGTGTGTCTGCAGTACTCATTAGCAGGTGATGACTCTGTGACGGAGGCAGTGACTGACCTGGTCAGGGGGACTTTATGTCCGGCTCTGAAAGCTATCTTCCAACACGGACTGAAGAAGCCGTCTATACTGGGAGGACCTTGTCACCCGTGGCTGTTTGTGGAAGAGGTAGGTTCAGTTGTAATTATGACCTTTAATTGTTTGTTATTGAACTAGAAATGGAACTGTGTAATTGCGTCACCTGGTTTTCCTCTCAGGCAGCCAGTAGGGAGGTGGAGAGGGACTTCAACTCAGTCTACTCCAGACTGGTGCTGTGTAAAACCTACAGGTAAATCCCACTTCCACAGCCCCGGTACCAAAACAACTATTTACCGTGTTGTGTGAAATCGATGATGGTGTGAAGGTTTGCTGTGACATTTTTAAGGTGCAGCAAAACCCATTGTTCATGGCTGTTCAAAACTAGCTGTTAGCTCATCAGTCCTGATTTCTCTGAATGGAGACCATCCAGGTAGACGTCTTAAACACAAACTTCACTCTCAGATCACCCCGTCTGTCTCCACTGACCTCCTGGAAGATCCGGGACTGAATTTAAACTCCCTCTTGTTAATAAAGCCTAAAACCATCAGCCACACACTCATTCTAGAGCCCTAAGGGTGTCTGACCAATGCTTAATGGTTGTCCGTTACTCTTGTCTGAACAAAGATCAAAAAGTCTGTTCTCACTCTCAAAGTAATGAAATGAACGTGTCGCTCTGTGTTTTTAATCAGGTTAGACGAGGATGGAAAAGTACTGACGCCAGAGGAGCTGCTTTACAGAGTGAGTGAGCCTGGAAGTAGGTTAAGCTCAACATTTCAGTGAGAATGCATGTGACCTGCACTGGGTTATGACCGAGGCCTAAGGTGTATACAAACATCAACTGTAGCACCAAAACGATGAACTGGCGCCCTCTGTCTGTACTACCCAGGCAGTGCAGTCGGTCAACATGAGTCATGATGCAGCACACGCTCAGATGGATGTTAAGTTCAGATCTCTTGTGTGCATTGGCCTGAAGTGAGTTACACACACACACACACATATACATAGTTATAATAATTTCTGTAGCATTAAATAAAATGGTTTGTAACGTCTGTTTGTCAGTGAGCAGGTGCTGCACCTGTGGTTGGAGGTGCTGTGCTCCAGCATGGCTGCTGTAGAAAAATGGTATCACCCGTGGTCCTTCCTCCGTAGTCCTGGATGGGTGCAGATCAAGTGTGAGCTCAGGTAGGAGACCAATCCTTACAGATAGTCAGACATGCCAGTATACTTGGTCTGGACTGCATAGTTGGGACTATAGTCGATACCATCTAATATACACCTGCATGTTGTGTCTTGTATAACATTAAAGGTGCAATTAGTACAAATTCTACAGTGAAATAATCCCACAACAGTCTGTCTCAATGTTTTAAGGAGGGTTACATGGGAACAGATTTCCTTCTCAGCTGGCTGGGTGAAGGCCAGGTTTTATCCATTTAAAAAAATAAAGCCAAACATGGGCGTGGTCAGTCTGTCCCGTCTCCATACTTCCTGGTTCCAGAGGGATCAAATTTGAGCCCGTGGGATTGCCAAGTCTTAAACGCAAACACTGCATCAACGTTTGTTATTCTACACCATCCTAATCCCAATACCCACACTGCGCCCTACCGTCTTCAGTGAAGTGCACTTGGAGGAAGTGCACAGTTGGCTTAGAGTGTGTGGTTCACAAGTGTGCAAATAATAGCCGAATTGGGACAGGGAGCACTGCATCATCGACCGCAACCCATGCTGGGATGCTGGTCGCTGTGCTACTTTAAAAAACATCAACTTTCAAACAACCATTTTAACTAAATTTACATTCATTGCTGCTGTCTAAAACATTCAGAGCATCAATTAATCATCCTAAAATAAAGTACTTTCATTAGAAAATACATATACAGCAATGGATTGTGGGTAATGCACTTCGCTTAAGTATATCGTTGCAAACTTGGGCGAAGTGCAGATCAAGGGTGCAAAAGGGGCGTGGTCAACTTCCGCACTTGAGAATCGGGACTCCCTACGCTACGCATACGCACCCCTGGCCGGGATTGTGCATTTGAAGGGCGCAAGTGTGGAAGTGCTATTATTGAGATTGGGCCACCGGATGACAAAGAGCAGCAGTGGCTGAGGCCAGACTCTCTTGTTTTGATACCTGGGGTGCAGTACCCAAATCTGACCACAAGATGTCATCCGTACTGCTTGCACCTTTAAATGAGCTCAGGTGAATACATTCTGGTGCTAAACGTTATGATTTAGTAACTAAAGTTGTTTAATCTAGGAAAACTTTTTAAATTCTATTCTGCAAATTGGAAATCAGTTATTTAAAATGATTAAATCAAGAACTGATTAATTACTTTCCAATATATAATTGACCTTAGACAATAAGTCCATGCTGTTTTCTAGCTTCTCATTTTATAATGTTGCCATGTGTATAAAATGTGTGTAAAGAACAAAGACTTGACTCCTGTGTTCTCAGGGTTCTGTCAAAGTTTGCCTTCAGTCTGTCTCAAGATTGTGAGCTGCCTGAAAAGAAAGCGGTAAGAACGGAGAACCTCGACCCAAATAACAAGTTCTATGTTTTAGTGAAGACAGGATGTTGGAGATCAGGGGAGGAATATTTGTTTTAGACGTCTGCTGTTCTGAAAGCAGCAGTTGTGTGTGAGCTGGTTCAGCATCACCCTTTAGAATGATGTCATGTCTGTTTTATTTAGAACCAGCTCATCATTTCTGCTGGTTTAGAGAACCAGTCGGTCTGAGTACGACACCTCTGTCAGATCGTAGTTAGCTTTATGCATTATTTATACTTATTTAACATGATGTGGATGTGGGCCCTTCAAATCGTCATGGTAACGCCATCAGTGATGACTCCGACTCCGCTGCGTTGCTTGTGCCAGATGACCTCTGACCTGGCTCCTTTTGTTGTTCTCGTAGTTTTTTTTATCACTTCTCATTGCTTTCCCTGATCTCTTCAGTATTCTTATGTGTTGTGACCTTTTGCAGGAGAAGGAGCAGAAGCCCCTGAAGGAAGGCGTGCAGGACATGTTGGTGAAGCACCACCTCTTCAGCTGGGACATCGACGGCTGATCTTTGTTTCTTATGGTCTCTAGCTGTTGTTTACAGCTCCCATCGTGGACACTAATCCCCCCCTCCGTCAGCCACTACTGACCCAAGCTGTGACTGGAACCATCCTGACTGTTGGTACAGAAAGTGGGTCCAGTGTGGTGCATACTTTATTTTATATTATCCTGTAAATGAGATGTCACTACTACAGATGTGCTCATCTGAAACATTCCTGCTGTACAGAACAGGCTGTACGTCTACTTCCACGTATTTCTGCCTTGTGCGCAGTCAGAGGTCGTCTCCCTAAAAACCAGAGATTTTAATATTGTCCCGACCTGCTCATGACTCTAATGGAACATTTCTAACCCTGATGCTGTAAAGAGAAACTATTTTTGAGAACGTTACTCATCGCTCAGAAATCCATCAAACCTTTTATGTCCGATCTAATTTAATGTTGCACACGCCGGTTAAAGCCTTGACTCACCGTGATGAAGAACTGCATGCCTGCTACCGGCACTAGTGCTAGTGAAAACACACCTGTAAGATGAAATGTACACAAAGGAGTTGCTTTTGTGTTAGACCAGTACATGTTACATAAAAAACTATCCATACATGGAATGGTCTTCTTCTTTTGATTCTAATTTGACAAGTTAAACAAGAATTTAACTATTTATTACTACACGCATTTCCTAACCTTTCAAAACAAGCTTCAATACCGAATGTTTTCCTTTGCACTAAAGTTTAGCATCTAATCATAAATAATCCACCTCAGCTCAAGGGAATCTAATGTAGAGCAAATCTGAACATGGTTTAAGATGTTGACGGGACTCGGTACTGAAGAACAAATCACTTCATACTAGAGATCCCAATAATGATGTATATTGTACTTGATACCAAGTTACTGAGATCAGTTCATGTGATTCTGTGGAGGATCACAGTGTAGGGAGACGGGGTCTTATCTTTGAGCCTCAGCGTCACCTGGCTATGTGAGGATATGTCTGATGTCAAACTGACAAAGTGATACTATGGTGCAAAAGACCATTTATTTCAATAATCTAATTTAGACTGGGAGACCATCTAAAGCAAAGGTGTCAAATGATGATAAATGACCCACACTTGTAAGGACTCCAAAGTGCTTTACACTACAGTGCATCATTCATCCATTCACACACTGATAGTGATGAGCTACAGGGCAGCTGTAGCTACAGCATAGCACTGACAGAGGCGAGGCTGCCAAGCACAGGCGCCGCTGGTCCCTCCGACCACCACCAGCAGGCAAGGTGGGTTAAGTGTCTTGCCCAAGGACACAACAGCAGAATTCTCTGTCCGGAGCCGGGATCGAACCTGCAACCTTCCGATTACTAGACAACCCGCTCAACCTGTTGAGCTACTGCTGCCCCAAATTCCGGTCTTCGGGAGCTATCCCACATTATCAACACGCCTGATTTCAACCAGCTGGTGATTAACAGGCTTCTGGAGGGCTTGATGAGCTGCTGCACAGGTGACTCAACTCTGTTGGAACAGGGAAACAGGAAAAAGGCAGGATACCAGCCATGAGGACCGGAGTTTGACACCCTTGATCTAGGCTCAGGAATCGTTTGCAGGTGTTTTGGATCCATTGGCTGATCAGTGTGACACTTTGAGTCTAGAATATTGAACCTTTTCACATTATGATATTTTGAATGTGAGGTTATTATAAGATGTAAGCCATAATCATCACAATTATAATGAATACTTTAAATATCTGACTTTGCATGTAATGAGTCTCTTGTATTTTTGTTTCACCTTTTAAGTAGAATTATTGACACGATTTAACTTTTGCCCCATATTCTAATTTTGAGTTTTACCTGAGAAGCCATCAGTGATTGGCTGACATAGATCAGTGAAAAATACACAAAGCTGTAATCTGATGTGATGAGCACAAATCAATTCTAAATTTAAAACATGGCCTGTATTTGTATAGCAGAAAGAGTTCTACAACCCCCCAAGGCGCTTTACAACACAATCAGTCATTGACCCATTCACACGCTGGTGGGGATGAGCTACGATGTGGCTACAGCTGACCTGGGGTGCACTGACAGGCGAGGCTGCAGAACATTGGAGCTACCGGTCCATCCGACCACCACCAGCAGGCAAGGGGGGTTACATGTCTTACCCAAAAACACAACAGCAACATTCTCTGGTCGGAGCCGGGATTGGACCTGCAACCGTATGATTACTGGACAACCCACTCTACCTCCTGAGCTACTGCTGTCCCTAAACACAAATACAAAAAGCACAAACTGTTGAAGTGTGTTTATTAACGGTCCTTTCTGCAGCGGTGTTAAAATGTGACTTAAACAGCAACAAATGGGGTACTAGAGTCACAAATAATGCATCATATTTGTTATCGGCTTGACATTTTTGTTTGAACGCTGCTGGACTGATGGTGGAAGCGTGACTGAATCTAAGACCTCGGTGAGATTAGGATGGTTACAACCAACCAAGAGTAAATATTCTACCAAATAAATAACCCACGGGTAAAATAATGCTTGTGTTTTTGTAGTTTGAGTCATCGCATGCCCTCTGCAACATTCATCTCTGATTTGCATACATTTTGTACATCTTTCCAATTAACACAACAGCTAATTTACATCTGCAAGATAAATGGAACAACTTGTCACTCACTGCAAAAACGCAAGGAATGCACGAGGAAACTTAAACCATAGCTGCTTGTATCCATCCTTCAGTGGCTCATCAAGAACATCACTACTTCCAAACTACTCCAACTAGTAAATGCAGCTAACAGGAGAATGCAGAAACGGTGTCTGTTTATAATAAAAACGGTTAACAGGCGAGGAAAGAGACTGCTGCTCCCATCACATCTTCTTTTTCATGGTTTATGGAACGAGAGGTTCAACCGTTTCCTGTTCCTGCCGAGGAGGGAGCTGGTATTGAGTTGGTTGTGCTGTTTTGACCTTTTCCTTTGTGTCTCTGGCCCCCTCGTCTCCTTCCACCTCCTCCAGACTTTGGCTGCAAAAACCAGACCACATTAACTGTTAGGCACCTTGAAACGTCACTTCAGAGCTGTAACACAAGCTCCTCCCACTTTCACGTGACACGCAGGGATCCCATTAAGACGCTTTTGGGCTCCACACTTTACCTTGTTCTCTTTGTTGCCCTCCTTTATCTGAGGGTCATCGTCTCCCTCTCCCTTTGGAAGCCGAACGCAAGCAAAGAGTGCAAAGAGCGAAGCGACACGTGTGAGTTGGGATTGAACAAACCAGAAGGTGTTAGTTGATGGTTAAGACATTAAAGAGGAGAGAAAAGGGGAAGAGGTTAAAGAGTTAGATCTGACCCATGTTGTTGGGTAGGAAACACACGGACACGTCCAGCATCACCCACTCACCGGTTGTGACGTGTTTGGGCCGGCTGGCTGTGCTATCGTTGCGTCCTCACTGGTTGCCGTGGTACCGTCCTCTTTTCGGAGTGGCGTCTTTTTTGTGGACTGCATTTTGGTTTGTGGAGGTTTGGAGTTTGAGGGCATGTTGTTGGTGGAGTGTAGCAGCTGCAAAGAAGTTGAGACGTAAAACACAAGGAACCAGTGTGAGTTAGAAAAGTTAGCCTGATTTTAGTAGCCGTGTTTCCACTATAGGAGGTCTGGGATCGTTCTGGGATGGGGGAAACTATGGCTGGGTATTCTCAGCCATCCAAAATCGTCCCTTTCAGGACTTTAGGACATCAGTATATCGTGGCTGCTTCAGTGATGCGTGATGACGTCACAGATCATCGCCAAAAGGCGTCCACGGACATTAATTACATTAAAAGTTTTGTTCTGTCAAAGTATGCCCTAACTATCTATTCGGGCGACTGGCTGCGTGATGTAAAAAGCTGCGTTCGACGACCGGAAGAAGCTTCATTTTTTGCGGTGCTCTGTGAGACCGCAGTGTCCAAAATTATGACGTTGTGGGGGAATTTCACCACATTTTTAGTAGTTGGTAGTTTAGAAACAATGATTTTAAACCAGCATCAATGCTGCTTATTTTATTTTCCTTCCATTCTGCTTCAAAAGCAGCTCTTCCAATAGAACAACTGCTGGTTGTGTGGTGAGCTGGCGTGAGTTACCCACAAGTCCTGCCTTGCAACTCTGCAAGACCATTCCAAGTACCTACCCCAGCTCAGGTACTCCGTTGGTTCCGGAAATGACCAAAATGGTCCTTTTGGGTCGGCCCAGAGAAATGGAGGCACGCACATACCACGAAGTTCCGATAGTGGAAACGGGCCTAAACTAAAGTGTCGCCCATCTTGAATCAGAGCAGAAGGACGTGACATGATCTTCAGTCTTAACGTGTCATCAGCTCTGGTACCTTAGTGATGGTCCCTACTGCTTTGGTGCGGCCCTCCCTGAACACCAGCCTCTGGTCACAGTGCAGATACTCGGGGGTTTTGATGAAGCGGAAGTGGACCGTAGCCTTGTCCCCTGTCCGTAAGCAGTCTCTGTTCATGGACAGGATGGTCGCCGTCTGCCTTATACTGCCACAGTGGACTGAGATAGAAAACACAGGAGTGAATGGATTAATCTGGTGTCTAATTATGGGATGGTCGTGTTGGCCACTGTTACCCACCCATGGCCTGATATCTGGGCGATATCGTAGTGGGATGATGCAGGACCAGGATTTCAGCCTCAAACTCCCAAGTGGCCTGAGGGTTTAGCTTGGGCGACACCATGACCATGCCTTTCCTTATAGATGAGCGCTTTATCTTTAGGATAAACACAGGAGATGAAGACCTTGTTGCCATCCCAACTCTCTCCACTAGACGGAGCTGTGAAACAACCTCCTCCTACCTTTTTGAGAGCAAACGAGGCAGTCTGGCCTCCTCTAACCTCCTTCACAGGCATTCTTTTGCGGTGGATGGATTTAACAGCAATGGAGATGAAGCTACCAAGAGGATCTGGACCCAGGAGCATGGTATCATTCAGACGAATGAGTCCTCGTAAAGTAGTTCCTGAAACTACGGTCCCCACCCCCTGAGACCAACAGAACCACAGCAGCAGTTTGGTAACTTTAAAGGTAAAACATAATAAAATAAACTCATTTAAATCGGCATGCAAACAGATCTTGTGCGAGGTTTGAGTACCGGAACGGAGTAGGTATCGTCTATCTGGAACTCGGCGGGCTGATCATCCCTGTAGGACGTCCTGGAGGACAGCAGGTTGAGAAACATTTTCAGCAGGTCCATGTTTTCCCCCGTCACATTAGAGATCTGAAAGATGGGACACATCCTGGAGGAAAACCATACGCAGGTTTAGACACGGTGGTTCTAACTCCACATGTGTTCTGGAAGGATCCAGTACCTCTCTGAGCTGAAGTTTGATGCTGCCACAATGACATCATCTTTGCTCTGCACCAGGACGGGAATCTTTCTACATCCTGGCGACTTCAGTAACCTCTGGAGCAACTTTAAAGTCTCTGTCAGAAGAAAGGCAAGCGTCAAAAACGGCAAACGAATCGTCACCTATAATACAGGAGGCAAGCTCCAGACCACAAACCTTGTAAAATATTGGCTGGACACATGTCTATCTTGGTTACCACAACAAAAACAGGCACATTAAGAGCTAGAGCCAAGCCCAGATGCTCTTTGGTCATCCCCACAATCCCAGCATTACTGCCAACCTGCAAAAAGAAAACACTTGTAACCATATTATAACTGGACTTGTTAGATGCGTCTGGGGCTTCTTTTGCACTTGTAAACGTAATAAAACCCACCAAGAGGACCAACTGTCTCTCAGTTATAAAGAAGCATGTCTATCCTGGCCTTTGCGCCAGACGCGTGAGCATCACCTAGCATCCGCATGGTGTAGCACGGAGCAATTAGCCGCCGTTATAACACCATTATATAGAGAGTGGATGGGATCATTTTTACTGGCTGGGAAGCGTCCCAGAAGCGTAGGGACCCGTCGCTTATGCTTTACTCCTTCTTTCCACCAGCCATGAAAGCGGCGTTTTCATTGCGAGCTCATTCCCAGTCGGGAGCCGTGCTGACACAAAACGGCAGCGAAAGCTCACAGCCGACTCCGTGATGTCACAAAATCACAGGAGAACTGCAACACCACGCGTGATTTCAGATGTCCACACACACTAATAAGCAAGGAGAAAGACAACTGCTTGTTCTGTTGTGTTTACATTGACTACGGGGATTTTAACAGGAAATGATGTACGCTTACCCGCATCTGACTTTTATTTTGAAAGTTTACGGGTGTTTTACACTGCTTTTGTGCTCGACTTCCTGTCTGGCACAATCTAAGCTATGGCGTTTGACGTGTTTTGGAAACGTAGGGCATAAAAACCAGACATGACATGTAATGATGGCGTCCCCTCGCTTCTGGGACGCCGTTAAACTTTGCTGCCGGTGGAAAGGAACGCATTCACTATTTTGGCGGCTAATTGCTGCATAGAACGTTTTGCGACGTTTTCACATGAAGTGGAAAGAAGGAGTGGGAGTCTAGTTTTTACACTGCTCTTCAAAAATATGTCAAGCTCATCAGTTCAGATCAAGTCCGACAGGAAGTCAAATACGAAAGCAGTGCCACACATCTGGAAACTTTCAAAGTAAAAGTCGTGGAGATTTCCAGTTACTAAACTATTAAAAAATGTACATAATTTCCTGTGAAACCTCTGTAGCTGACGTAAACAGAACAGGAATTAAACCATAGACCTTTTTGGATGCGTGGTGATGTATTTTTCCTCGTTTGCAGAACTTCCACGTGAATTTACAATTCGAAAGTGATTTAGCAAACTCACGGCACCAGCGGTGTGGAACGCTTTCCCCGCTGTTTCACATCTGAAATGTTCCCGGTGGGAAGGGCACTCGCGGGTAGAATGAGTCCATTATGTTAAATGTCCTTACACATCCAGTGGAAAGCCGGGCTTTCGTTTTGCTCCCCAACAATCTGAGCTAAACATCTGATCGTTCAGAAGAATCTTTGCAGGGATCCTTCTTTTACTAGAGCTTGTTTTACCTTTTTGGTAACAACAGTTAAAATTTCGTCGTCGTCTTCCTCCGCTTATCCGGGTCCGGGTCGCGGGGGCAGCATCCCAACTAGGGAGCTCCAGACCGTCCTCTCCCCGGCCTTCTCCACCAGCTCCTCCGGTAGGACCCCAAGGCGTTCGCGGACCAAATTGGAGATGTAAACTCTCCAACGTGTCCTGGGTCGACCCGGGGGCCTCCTGCCGGCAGGACATGCCTGAAACACCTCCCCAGGGAGGCGTCCAGGATCACTATCTGTCACTCGTCCCAGGGACTCCAAAAAGGGTGGGTACTCTGACCTGATATTTGGCCCATAAGCACAAACAACAGTCAGGACCCGTTCCCCGACCCGAAGGTGCAGGGAAGCTACCCTCTCGTCCCCCGGGGTAAACCCCAACACACAGGCAGAGAGTCTTGGGGCTAACAAAAAGCCAACCCCAGCCCTCCGCCTCTCACCCGGAGCAACTCCAGCAAAGGAGAGTGTCCAACCCCTCTCAAGGACTTGGGTTCCAGAGCCAATGCTATGTGTCGAGGTGAATCCGACTATATCTAGCGGGTACCGCTCAACCTCTGCCACAAGCTCCTGCTCCTTCCCCGCCAGCGAGGTGACGTTCCATGTCCCAAAAACCAGTTTCCTTGTCCGGGATTGGACCGCCAAGGCTCCCGCCTCGGTCTGCCACCCGATCCACACTGCACTGGACCCTTCATGTTCCTCCTGCGGGTGGTGGGTCCACAGTTGGATGAGCCCATGTATCCGATTCGGGCTGGGCCCGGCCGGGCCCCATGGGTGAAAGCCCGGCCATCAGGCGCTCACTCACGGGCCCCAACCCCAGGCCTGGCTCTAGGGTGGGACCCCGGTAACCCTCCGGGCCGGGTACTCCGACTCTTTGTTTTTACATCCATGAAAGATCCTCTGAAACGATTCCCTTCACCTAAGATCAATTTGTCATGGGAGACCCTACCAGGGGCACAAAGTGCCCCAGACAACATAGCTCCTAGGATCATTAGGGCACTCAAACTCCTCCACCACGATAAGGTGACAGTTCAAGGAAGAGCAGTTAAAATTTGAAATAGTGAATTCCCTCTCCAAGATCCAGCTGAACGCAGCGATCTTCCATGGATACAAAAGTTAGCCCAGCTTATTCAGGGGCCTGACAGAGTTACAATCCAAAAAGCAGTTAAATCAACTTTTTTAAACCATTACAGGAGTTTTTGAATAAAAGACAACTCACAATTATAAAACAAACACTATAGAAGAGGATTGGGAACACTGAAAAAGATCAAATTTTCCCTCATATTCCTGAGAATGACATGAAAATTCTGACAAAGTCCAATTTTTTCTCTTCTATAAATAGTGAGTTATTTAATTTTTGAAGAAAAAAATTTAAGAAAATAAAGTATGAATTTTTTTCTATGGAATTTTGCGACTTTTTGAAATGAATGAAATATCACTGGTAACTTTTGGTGCCATTCTGTTAAAATTCAATAAACTTATTTTTTGAAAAATCTCCAAAGCTGCTTAAACCTGCATATTATATTGTATCTACATATAAAAACTTAGTTTGGTTTTTTTAAATAATTTTTAGGCAGATTTATTGGGAGCCATTGTAGAATGTCCAAATGCCCACTTGTAGCTCCAGAGCTGCAGGATCTCCGCATGCTACTGGACAACGAACAACTTGAATTTGGAAATACATCCTTTTTCTAAATAAAGGACTTAAATACATCTATCTGCTCCTGATTCTAATAAAACCCATGTCCTAATAGTCCAAAATTGATGTAAAAGCTGCTTCAAACGAGCTGTCGCCATCTTGTTCCACTCCGTTGCATAATCCTGCCCCAGACAAAAAGAGGGCCCTGATTGGCCCACAAAGCTGATAAGAGCTCAGTCGGTTTGAAACCCCCTATAGAGAGCTGGGATTGGCCAGCCAGAATGCTGCTAGGGGCTAAGGAGGTTCCTATGGAGCGTTCCTAGACCAAACTTTGCAGAGCAAGGATTTGATCTAGTTCACTAGGCTAGCAGGTTGCAGACTTCCAAGCTAGAAACCATGTAAAAATAATTTTGCAGATAGGAAATCTAAAATGTACATTAGCTGAAAAAAGAATGCTGAGAAGTAAAATTAGACTTCATGATGAGTCCTCATCACCTCCTGTGTTGATGCTAAAGCCTTGTCTGCTTGTTTTCTGTCCTAAAATGCTCCTCTGACCAAGACTGGTGCAGTTATTACAACATCTATAGGGACTCTAGTGGTAGGATGTCTTAGCGGTCATGCACTAAGACTGCAGTGGTCTTAGTGCATGACCACATAAACACACTATTTGGTTATGATCTGCTCTGGCCTGACATCCCCCATCCTATCAGCTCTTTAGCCGCCTGTCAGGCTGCAGGTCTGAAGCTGCTCAGACACAGTCACCAGTCTGATGCAGTAAATAAATCTGTGTAAACTTATTTAAAGTGAAGTACTGTTTTACATTCCCAACATAAGCACGCCGACACACATCCTTGGCTCTTGTAGTTTCTGACCATGAGCATGCAGAAGTCTGGAAGGTGTCCCGTCATGCCAAACACGGTGGTTTTCAGGTATTTTTCGTGGCCGGCCAAGTCGATGAAGGTAATGACTTTGGAAGACTTCTCACAGATTTTGGTCCAGTCCAGACTTCCTCCATGGCTGTCAGGTTTGTTGACAACCTGGGCGTAAACAGATTGCACCAGTAGCCATGAGCCCACATGAACTCACGATCATCTCGCTGATGGGCCCCATATTTTAGCCCTCACCTGCCCCTCCTGATCGAACCCCAGGATGTCGTTGCCCACGCTGCTGGTCCGGCCGCTTTCCATCTCATGCTTGTGTCTGAAGAGTTTCTGACGGGCGAAGCCCCTGCCGTTGTCCAGCTCACCGTGCGTCAACACCCCCAGCAGGGTACTCTTCCCGGCATCCACGTTCCCCACCACAGCAACCCTGAGGGACAGAAACACCTTTAGTGTTCCAGATGATAACTAAGTTACTTTACTACCGTCTACAACCACCTGATAACATACCTGACCTCCAGGAAGTCCAGCTCGCCCACTCTCCTCCGAATCAGATAGTCACGCACCGTCCCGGCAGCCTCGCTGCGTTCTCTCAAGGAAATGAGGTCCGAGTCCAGCTGCTCACACATAGAGTGCACTGTTGCTACTGAGGCCTCCATATCTTTCTCATCCAGACCCCAGTCACCACCATCTACTCAGGAAGAGATAAACAGCTTCTTTAGGAACCACACAAAGTGGTGTGAGATTTCACGTACGTGTTTGTTATTTAAGTTTCTCACCAGAGCCCATCCCAACCACATAGATGGTCTCTCCGCAGCCCTCTTCCATCCTGTCACGAAGCTGCCGCAGTAAAGAGTCATACTGCTCCCCATTTGGGCTAACAAGTGCCAACTGTTGGGTTCAGATAAAGAGAAATCCCAAATATGAAAAGGAAAGTTGTATTTTCAGGACATTAAATATAGTAAAAGCTGAAATAAAAGCATTTGTCATGATGTAATAACAAGTGTCTGACAAGGGAAAACGTGAGAGGATGGTGAGTTCAGAGGCTTTTCACACGCGAAAACACCTGTCCATCTTCCCATGAAACACTCTAAAACTTACAAATGAACACAGTAAAAAAAACTTCATCATATATCACAGCAATGCTCCATCAGTAATTATAGTGTCAGTATTATTATGAATGCTAAAATTAAACAACTGGGTTTGCTGAGACAGTTTTATTTATATGATTATTACTACATCCAAATAAGTCCTAATGATTACTAGTTAGAAGTCAACATACCCCTGTATCCTAATGTAACACTGTGCAATCTTGTGGGACATATAATGCCCACCTTTGTCAAGAGTAATGTGACACCTGCAGGAAATAACTGATTTCCTTCTTGCAGTCAGACACTTGTTATTACATCATGAAAAATGCTTTTATTTCAGCTTTTACTATATTTAATTACATGTGTCTTTTGTTGAGAGGTTTACATGTTCTGTGACTAGGTTATACTTTAGTCAGATGCTGTAAAAGCGCTAGTGTAACATATGGTGTTGTTACGAATGTCAGCATGCATCAGCTGGAGCTAAAGCTAGCTCAATTAAAGTCAACCCCAAATAAGTTAGCTGCGTTTTTAAATTAAGTATTCAAATTCATCTTAATAGCTACATTATAGCCCACCGTGCAACGCTTGATAATAATGACGTAATATGCATGAGCCACATTTATATTTTCATTCATTTATTACGTGCTCGAATATCCAGGGCCTTGCGTACCTTGCTGCTACAGTCAATCCCACGAGCCTCGGGCTCGCCGTTGATAACGTCCCCGTCCTCGAGGCACTCGTCCCCGGCCTCTTCCCCGCATCCGCCCCGGTCTGGAGCGAAGATGCTCGCGGGGAGTAAAGCGTCAGCCAACGCTAGGGAGCCCGGGGTTATGTTTGGCTCATGCGCCGCCGACGCAGATGCCATTCTATGACAACTTTGTAGCACTAAATTACAGGCTGTGCAAATTATTCCGACGACGGCTGACAACCAAACACGCACGCACACACACTCTGACCGCTAACTCACTCTTTACTACTGTTAACTGGCATTAGCCTAGCAACGAACAACCTAGTTAGCTGTGCAATTTAATCTAAAAACACTCAAAAACATGGCGGTCAAGTGTTGGTTACAAGCTTTTCAATAAGAGAATTTCGACAACCTAATAAATATTAACAAAAGAGGTGTGAGAGGGCGTGTGTTTTTAAACATCTTGTGCACAAATAGTCTTGCTTATAGAGCTAGCAGTGGACCAATAGCAGTGAGTGGGACGTCCATATTATTAAAACGAAGCTAAGGTTAGCATGTTGTAATCAGATGGTAACACTGCTTAACCCTTTACATGCCTGATGCCTGGATACAGTCAGATAAATTTTCACCCTTAAGATTAATCAATTTATAGGCTAATGTCAGTAAAACATATTTATTAAATATGAAAACATTAGGTAAAAAAATAAAACAAATAACAAAATGTAATATGCTGTGTACCACAGTGCCACACATCAACAAGGTACACTTCTGTATTCAGTCTGAACTTTCCCTGCTGATCCAGACACAGACGCAGTTTTGAGGGGTACGGGGTCATGTCCCCTCCACTTTTTCCACAGTCAATTCGTGTCCTCTGCAATTTGTACCATCCAAAAATTCATTTTAGGTATTTTTTGCACATTTACTGAAAATACACCAACCCCCCCCCCCCCCCCCCCCCACCACCACCACCACCACCACCACCACCACCCCCACCCCCACCACCTGTCCTCATGCAGTTGTTCTTTCCCCCCCCCCCCCCCCCCCCACACACACACACACACACACACACACTTCTAAAGTTAAAACTACATCCATGGATGCAGTGATGAAGGGTAGGTGGGTTGATGCTATTCGCAGGGACAGATGTACGGTAGTGCCACACGCCTGTGTTTGTAGCTAGCTGGCACTTGACATCTGATGACTTCCATGAAGCAACATCAGAAACAGGTCAACGGCTGTTAAACAAGGGAGTTGTTCCTGTTTTTTTTAATGGAACATCTTTTCCCTTCCATCACTGTGATAACTTGACTTCCAAATAAGCAGCTCCACACAAGATTGAAGAGAACTCTCGAACTTTTTGATGCATCGTTCATCAGCATTCACATGTCTGAACCACCGTTGCTCTGGAGAACCCCGGCAACCAACTAACACATCCGGGTGACAGCTCCCCCTGTCGGAACGGGGTAATAATGCTCTCAATATACTACACTCCCTCCCCCTTAAGATCCCACCATGTTAACACAATACAATGTTATTTATTTATTTTATTTTTATTATTATTATTAACCTTAGCTGATAACCAAAATATCACATAAATCATGAAGAATTCCTTTGCAGATACTTCAGCTTATCTACACAGGTTTTTTTTTTTTTTTTACCATGGAAGGTGGGTGGTCTACCAGCCTTCCAGTGAGACCCAGAGCGTATTCTTGCTCTTTTTTGAGGGAACTCACAAGACCTACTCACACACAAAGTCTTTCAAATAAGTAGGAGTCTGTTTCTTGCGTTCCGAGCGGCGCAGCTCCGACAGTGGATCTCCCTTCTGTCTACTGGCCTCTGCAGGGGCATAGCCTGGAGCTGAATCAGCTGGTTTCAGGAACTCATCTCCTCCCGAAGAAGGAAACCCCAAGCCTGGGGGTGGCAGTAGTGCCACCTGGTCCGGAACCTGAAGGCTGCAGGCGTTCCCATCCAAGTCCATCCTGGAGGTCCCCATCTGCCCTGCCTGCCTTTGTATGATCTGATGAAAGTGGCGTCTCATGATGTGCCCATCACCCGTTTGTGCAATATATGATAAAGGACCCGTGTTCTGCAGAATGACAGAAGGCACCCACTTCGGACCATGGCTGTAGTTCCGGATGTACACCTTGTCCTCAGGAGAAAAGCTCCTCCACTTACAGCGTATGTCATGATGTTCTTTCTGTTTACTTTGTCTCTTTAATACTTTTGCTTTAACATCTGGCAGTAAAAGGTCCAAGGTACAACGTAATTTCCTGGACATTAGGATCTCCACAGGTGACAAGCCAGTGGTACTCTGTAGTGTGATTCTTTAGTTGAACAGAAATCGGGTCAGTCTTGTTTCCAAAGTGTCCCCCTGTACTTTTGCTAGGCCCTGTTTAAACATTTGCACAGCTCTTTCTGCCAGGTCGTTAGAGGAAGGATGGAAAGGTGCCGAAGTAACATGTTGAATGCCATTTTGTTCCAAGAACCTTTTAAACTTCTGGCTTGTAAAGCATGTGCCAATGTCTGAAACCACCATCTGATGCATGCCATGTGTTGGGTATTTTATAATTGTATCTTTTTGAGGCCTAAAAGATGCCCAATTTGTGTTATTAACACTTCATGAATCTTTGTGTTTGCCAACTGTGGCTGTTCATGAAAGTTGGAGCAGAGAAGCTCGTTTGCAGTCAAGGTTGTTGATTGTAGATTTCCAAGGAAACCTCTGTACCTCTGTAACCTGAGAAGGCCCCGCCTTCTCCATCCTTTGCTAAATAAAACCCCTGGCAAACTGAGAAATAATGGGAGTTACGTGGGGTTAGCCTCGGAGGAGATTTTCCTTTGCGTTAACTCTCCATTATTTTGGGGACTCAGGGTAAAATGTCTTCCTTGTTGTCATGAGTGTTTATTTCAGGTTCCAGGGTTATGGTGATTAAATATTACCCAACATTTTGGTGGAGAATGCGGGTAGGCAGAGCTGGTGAGCTGAAGGAGCTGAGGCTGGAGCAGAGTGGGGGCTGGGTTTCTGCGCCCAGCTCTTGCATGACGATTCATGGACATTACAAATCAATCTACTCTCTCTGTCTGTGTCGTCTTTTAAGGTAATATGGGATAAATGAAAAATTACCTATCACCATGTGTGCTGAAACATTGTCTAAGCTTCTCTATTGTAACTTGGCTGGTGGAGCTGTTGGAGGGATACACCTCAATCCACTTTGAATGAGCGTCCACCACCACGAGAAACATTTTCCCCAAGTGCGGGCCGGCATAATCCACATGCAGTCTACTCCAGGGTTTCTCAGGCCACTCCCAAGGATGGAGAGGTGCTGCCGCTGGAGTTTTCCTGGTTTCCTGACATGTGTGGCAGGATTGTACTTCAGTCTCTATGTCCAAATCCATTCCTGGCCACCACATGTATTTTCGTGCCAAACCTTTCATCTTAGAAATTCCCGGGTGTGTGCGGTGCAGTTGTTTTAAATGGTTGGCTCTTCCCCTCCTAGGAACAACCACTCTGGCTCCCCACAACACACACCCATCTCTCACGCTCAGCTCCAATCTTCTCTGACTGTAGGGCATGAACTGAGAGTCCACTTCTTTGGGCCAGCCCTGCAAGCACCACAACAGTACATGTGACAGTGTTTCATCTTTTGCTGTCCACTGCTTTAACTGGGCTGTTGTGATCGGTGGGTCATCCATCAAGTCCAGCATGAGCACCTGACCCACGTCATCCTCCCCTACCTCAGTCTGTGGCAGTGGCAGCCGACTCAGGGCATCCGCATTAGCATGAACTTGGCCTGGTTCATGTATGATCTTGTACTCATAGGCTCTCAGCAGTGTAGCCCACCTCTGTACCCTAGGAGATCCCATCTGTGGCACTGGCTTCTTCTCATGGAAAAGAGAAATCAGAGGCTTGTGATCCGTGTTGATAGTGAACTGATGACCATATATGTACTTGCGAAAACGCTTGATTCCAAAGATAATAGCTAATCCTTCTTTGTCCAGCTGAGAGTACGCTTTTCGGCAGGTGTCAACGTCCTTGACATGAAACCCAAAGGTCTTTCAATTCCGTCTTCCATCACATGTGACAATACAGCACCCACCCTGTAGGGTGACGCGTCGCAAGCAAGCACCAGTTCTTTGTCAGCTGAGTAATGGCATAATAACTCTTCAGCTGATTTCAGGAGCTGTTTAGACTGTGTGAACGCCTCTTTCTGCTCCCTATCCCAACTCAACAGAGCATTTTTCTTCAACAGTTGATTTAATGGAGCCAACCGAGTGGCAAGGTTAGGCAAGAACTTATTCTAGTGGTTCAAGAGACCCAAATATGCCTTCAGCTCAGCTACTGTTGTTAGAGATGAAGCTTCCACAATGGCTCAAACCTTGCTCTGAACTGGATGCAGGCCTTGAGCATCGATTCGGTGACCTAAGTATTGTACCTGGTCCTGTAGAAAGACACACGTACACCACTGGAGTCGCAGACCTGCTTCTTTTAGTATTTTTAGTGTTATCAGGTGCTCTGTAGTGTCTTTCCCTGTCAACAGTATATCATCCAAATAAACTGCTATGTTAGGCAAATCTTGCAACAGGCTTTCCATCGTTCTCTGGAAAATGGCCGGAGCCGATGACACCCCGAAGGCCAGCCTGCTGTAGGTGCAAAGCCCATGATGTGTGTTTATGGTCAGATACTTTTTAGACTCCTCAACCATCATGATCTGCTGATATGCGTGACTTAGGCCTAGCTTGGTGAACTCCACCCCCCCCCCCCCACCCCCCCGTTAATGCATTAAACAGGTCTTTCAGTCGGGGAATCGGGTATTGTTCCAGTGATAAAGCATTATTCACAGTTAGCTTACAGTCACCACATATCCTGATGGAACCATCAGGCACTGTCCACTCAGCATACTTAACTGGTGTCATGATGTCATCCTTTAAAAGTCTTTCGATCTCTCTTTCCACCTTAGTCTTCATGGCATATGGGACTGAGTGGGGCCTGTAATATTTGGGGCATGCATTTGCAGATACTCTGATCGTTGCTTTTATCCCTTTTTAACATGCCTAGTTCTTGAAAGACTTCCTCATGTCTTGCAAGAACTTCATGTAAGTCCTGAGTCTCAGTTTTCACCTGCTTGATTTCATCCCACTGCTGCTTTAATTCTATGGAGCTAGGATTGGGACAATATTCAGCGTAACTTGTAGCAAGTTTTGTAACTTCAAACATGTTTCATCACATGTAACTTTGGATTCGTAACTTGTAACTTTAGTTTTCTAACTTGAAATTCTCAATTTGTACTTGTATTTCTTGTTTTGTAACAGGAACATTGTATTTTGTACATATATTTTTTATTTTGTAAAATCAAACTTTTATTTTGTACATTTACTACTCATTTTGTAACATCAAACATTCATTCAGAAACACAAAACTTTCGTTTTGTAACTAGCAGACTTCC